TAAACAAATTTCATCAGAAGATACACTGCTGTATCGATCAAGTAAGATTTTTTAACCTCGTTTTTTCACTAAAGTAAAAATCTCTTGGTACTTCATCAAATATTGTTTTTTGCTTAAGTGCTTTGATAATCCTCTCAAGGGTTGCCATTGAAAAGGCATATAGCATGACCCTAGCCTCTCCTCTCTAATTAATTTACGCTTGCTGATAGATATTTTGATTAATTGTATATTTTACTTGTAACTATTGATTGTATGGTAGCTTGTATTTATTAGACAAATGAATTTTTTCATTCTTTACCACATCAATTACTGAAATCCGATAATAAACATAAAAAAACCGTCAATTTAGTATCCAGGGGCGGATCTAAGATTTTCTCGAGGAGCGGCAGATTTTCACAAGTTTTTGTTCATCTTTTTTCTGATTCGAAATTTTTTGAAATCTATTGAATGGAGTTTTTGGGCGCGCGCCTCCCTCAAAATAAGTATTTGATGATGCCAAAGGCTCCTCTCGAAAATTTATAGGGTCAGTCGGCCGAGCATAATTGTCGTAAAATATTAGCAATGGGAGTACCCTTTGGGTGGTGAAAATGTCGAATCCGGAGGAAAGGCAATACCCCCCCCCCCCCCCCCAAAAAAAAAAAAATCCGCCCCTGCTAGTATCACATTTGATTATAATTAACCTGAAATGGTTAGCGGAATAGATTACTCATAGAGGGAATGTTGATTGCTCATATTTGCTATTGTTGGCATTAGAGCAACCCTGTAGGTCAACAGTATCTCTCTCCAGCTGATGACGTTTTTTCCGAATTTTCCCCGACATACAATTTAAGTTCATATATGGGCAGTTAGTTAGTGAATCATCTGCAACTACTGTTAATTTGATTTGTTCTTTTGCCAACTCACAAATCGAGTGAAGTTTCGCAAAATTTAACATACAAGAATGAAATTAAACGAACTCAGTCGAATTTTGTCCCTTTAGAAGCAGTCAAATAAGTATACGATAGTTTTGGTTTATTTAGTTGTCATTTTTGTACCAGACCATTTCTCCAATTATTCCACTTTATTGTCAGTTTCGTCTGATTTGATTGAGTTTGAAGAATAGTTTGAACTTAAAGTTTAGTGAATTAGTTGATAAAAAATTTTACCGATATTATAAGGTACGTTACTTAGATATAATTTACTGATTTTTTCGGGACGTTTATAAACATTTGGAGCGCTTTTTGTACTTAAATGACTATCTATTTGGCAGAATAGACAATTGCTGATCTATGAAGGGGACATCTGTGAACTCAAAGGGTCTACAATTATCCCGCGAACACAAAAACCGTTCTTCTTTTTTGGTTATTTTTAAGACCTTCTTACTGATTTCGAGTGAGTGGCACGCAGTGCTAGTCTTTCAACAAAGCTCAGAAAGGCATTTTGACAAGCTTGCTCATATAGTAGCCCCAGGAAAGACTTGTTTGACTGAAAAAGCTTCGAATGTTCAGTGATTAAGTGGTCAGCGTTTTCTGGGACTTTAATTAAAAACGTTATATGAAAAATTTTACGGACATTCGTGGAATCAATTCCAAATGTCATTTAAAAAACTTACTGTAAATTAAAAGTTAAAACGTCTCGTGTTTCTTGCAAATATTTTTAACTCATGTCAAGTTTTTTCTTATTCAATGCGTTACAAAGCTCGAAACGCATAACAGTAAACACAGGCCAGCCACCGTAATTACAATTACAAGATTTAAAAAAAAAACGAAAACAACCACAACAAAAGAATACCAAAAGAATTAAGATTAAATCGGTAAATCATATCAATTGTTGTTTTTTGATTGCCTGTCAAATTCCTGTCTTCTAAATTATAAATGGTAATTGTCTGTGAAAAGTATATTTTACTAAGCATGCATTTCAGTTTTTTGTTGTTCGTTCTGGCTTAGCAGAAGGCTGAAAAAGCAAATTCCCGAAAAAATGCGTAACAGATATTTAAAAATAGTTGAAATACTTCTACTTTACGTTACAAAGACGTTTTTAATGTTGATAAAAGCAAGACTAATAAAATTTATAATCTCGGATTATTTTATCTCTGTCATATTCGGCATTCTAAATATAGCAGTTCTGAAATCTAAATACGTCGCTGTGTTTTTTGCTTTATATGACTAGCGCTTCGCTTAGTTGTCGGTCTGGTCTGATGGGTAGCTTAAGAATATGTGTGGATCAGTTCAGCAAGCTTCTCCAGGTTTTAAGTGAAAGATAGCTAAATGGGAAGTTGGGTGTATTTAAAACCAAGTGAACGGGGGTGTAGATTGGTCTGCCAGTAAAAATCAGTACTGTTCCAGTATTGCAACAGTATAAAAACAGTACTGGACAAGTATCACGGTAGCACTGATCAGTGATACAATCAGGAGAAAAAATGGCAGTACTGTCCCAGTACTGAATCAGTACTGTTTTTGAAATTATTAGTTCTGGTCCTTATCAACCTGCAACCAATCCGTCCCAGGATGCCAAACCAACAATAAGAACTCAATCAACCGAATCCAATTTGCTATAAAACTTTTAGTGAACTAAATATTTGACAATTTTTGAGCTGATTTCTAGCTGTGTAACAGGAAAGATTTTGTACCCGAAATTACCCTGTTTCCGAAAATTGAGTTGCTCAATCCATTTAAAAGCCAACGCTAACCCATTTTTTTTCGCGGGAAATAACTGCGTCGTTACGTGTGTTTTTTAGCCTTTTCTGTAGTGTAAAGCCATTTTCATTACAGTAGCGGGCAGCTAGTTTTTTTGTACGAACCTTCTTTTTTTCGAATCTAACTCGCAATTAAAAGTCTTCATTGAAAGTGGAAAGTGTTCACTTTTTTGGTGGCTCTTTCGCTATAATCACGATCTAGCATTGGAAATTTCATTTCATCTGTTCTCTGCTTTTTTGTGTCTAGTGTTTGCGATGGATTAAGCGTGCGTGGCTGAGTGGCTAGTTTGTGAGGCTCAAAATCTCTAGGTCGCAGATCGAATCCGAGACGTAGACGAATTTTTTCTAATTCGAGGCTTATTTCTACTTTTTCTTATTGCATTTTATAGAGCTGCTTTTTGTCGTGTTCTCGCTAGTGTTTACTTAGTGAAGATTGACCTCCGTGGATTGTTTTTGACGGTAACGAGACGCAACAAAACTTTCAATTCAATTCGAATTTTTTAAAATTGCGGTAAGTTTTTCGCAAATACTACAAACAATGTTTTCAAGCTGAGTACTCATCCGAAAAAGCGTATAATATATAGTTTCTTTTTTGTAACCACGACTCACCTTTGTAAGCACCGAAAAAAGGAGGTTGTTTCTAGTTTTCTTGCAGGACAAAAATAGAGAAAATGAAAGTTAGAACCGCAACAATACTGTTTTCTGGGTTCTCTATTTTGTCCTACAAAAGTACTGAAAAGATTATAAAACTTTTTTTTTCTGAAACAGTACTGATTATTACTGTTAGAGCAATCCGGGATATCGATAAAAGGGCAGATTATCAGCTAGCATTCAAACGTACAATATAATTCATATACATTCAAGTTACTACAGCGGAAAGAGTCTGTTCCCGATTAGCCACAAGTGATCAAACCATCACAATCATCAAAATTGTGAACGCTTGCTCCGCTGAGCTTACATTTGGCACAGATACGCTTGAATTAGTGTTGATGGCAATTAGGTTTTTGGCTGATCGATTTTCCGGCTGTTTGGTTCCTGACATAACAGTGTTTTATAAATGTCATGATTTTTGCTGAGAATCACGTAGAAGTTCCTGAATTTAACACCGTTTTGAAACAACGAGTTGATTTTTTTCTAATAGAACACGCCAGCATTTTTATGAAAGGCAAGTGCCAGCGTTTGAGTAGAATTCGTATAACTAATATAAAAATGCCTCAATTCAGTTTTGAACGAATCAGTGCGGATAATTTGCCGCGCATAAATGTTTCGCGCAGTGAATTTATCAAAGTATTATTGAGCAGCGATGCCATCCGCATTTTAGTCTAGCGCAAGAATGCTCGCTTAGCAATCCAAAGGTTTCCGGATCAATACCCATACGCTGTCAACTTTGTATAATCGGTCTGAAAAAAAAACACTTTATTCATATATATTCCCTATATTCTGAATGAAAACAGAGCAAAAATTAGCAATTTCAGACAATTTCAAAAGTCATTCAAAGACAACCAGTTGATATGCAATTAGCATATAACGCTTCGACCAAAATGATTCAAGTGAAGAAAATCAAAATCAACGAAAAAAAAAGAAATGAAAAATTGAAAACAAATTTAAATTGAACTTTTTGATTATTTTTAATTCACTTTTTTAAGTTAAGGCCGTTTGAATCAGTTGAGAAACTGCAAGAATCTCAGGTCCTAAATTCTGATATATTTTTAAAGGCCCAGGAAATTAAATTGGTGTTCTGTTTCTCAATAAATTGTTTGTCTTTTGGATGGAAAATCGAATCTTAACTGAAAACACATTTGACGACTGTAAGCATTTTTGTGGCGTTCAAATTTAGGCAAAAATACCACCCTGAGCCTTTGTTTCCTCCCACTTTTTTCGACTTTCCCACGCATTTGTTGCATTTTGGAAGAAAAAGCTTTTCAAAATCTCGCTTGCACTAACAAAACTTTTATTAATTGAACACTGAAAATCAATTGGTTGAAATTTTTTTCGAATCAGCTTCGAAAATTTTTTTCAGAAAAAACCGTGCTCCATTCCGATCAATCGGCTCGTGCTTTTTTGTCGTTTTCAGTTGAAAGTCGTGGGTGTGGTGTTTGTAAATTGGTCATTTCCAATTGATCCGTCTATGCTCCGACGTTAGATCGCGTATCGAAAATTTGTAGCTATGTTTCTGTTGGCTATCTATTATCATGATTCTGTCTTGCTGTGTTGCCTTTCGGATCTTAGATAACTTTCAGGTTGTTTTATGGTGCCTGCCTTAGATTGCAGCGTTTTTTACCGAAGAAATGTTTAATTTAATTTAATTTGTAATTTTTTCAGGTGTTCATGTACATAGACTGACTAAAGTAGCGGACCATATATGGGACCAAATTATCCAATTCAGTGCCTTTTTATGTTCTATCCTCACAAATTAGGAACTTTGTTTCCAATCTACTGTAGAACTTTATGCTTGTAGTACCTGCTTGTTTTATACCATCTTTCGTCTTTTTTTACCGAGCGAGACAACATTTGTATACGTATTAACAGATGTAACAACAAACAGAAAAAGAATTTGGTCGAAAATTGTAATTGTTATCAAAAAATTCAGTACTAATACTAAAATGACTATTTTTTGCAAGGAAATTTCCTGATTCAATATTGAACTGCAAGAAGATGAAATGCTTAAAACAAAACTTTTTCCAGCTTCTTGTTTTTCTTATCATTATGCTAAATATATATTTTGTTTGTACATCTGCTAATTGATAGCGACTGTGTTCACACAGCATAATTCGTTCAACAATTCACACAAAGCATAATTTGTGTTGTAATACACGGGATGCGAGTTAAGTGTAATTTCGACCCAGAGTCGGTCGACTTGGCGGAAATTCTGCAGTATGGATGCAAACCCCCCGATGCATCTGACATGTTCAAAGAGGGGGTGTTTAAAAAAAGTGGAGCACATAAGGGGGAGGGGAAGTCTTCCAGAAGTGACCAGATGCGATGTTTTAGGTAAGTAAAAAAGTGGTACAATCAAGGAATATCTTTAACAATCCCCCCCAAAAAAAACCTTGCAAAAAAGGGGAGATTCGTTACTAAGTACAAATGTTACTTACGCTTAATCCTTTAAATTTTTTTTTGAGGTGGAAATTCGGTACTTGGTATGGGGGGGGGGGGAGGGGGGGGAGGGGAGTGGAAACGTTAAAGAGATCCCAGTCAATGATGTCGCTTTTGAAAACAGATCAAGTTATCTTAATTTTTATTCCAATTTAAATCTATTTAAAATCTGACAACTTCAAAGATGTTCGCTCTCGCATAAGTATCTTCTAAAATAACTAATATTGTCAATTGTTGCTCGCAATAATGTTTCAGCATCAAATAGCCTTTCGGGTCGCGGAAGAGCTCAGCTGAATTATTTTCCGATCACACATTTTGAAACAGTCTCTTCCAGCAAAATGGCTAAAAAGGACTAACTTTCTCTTCTTTGCCAGTTTTTGGCTTAAAGGCTTCAATGCTTGATTCAAGTTGTTTTTCTTTTTAAAACGCCATATCATTTATTGTCAAATTTACTTTTCCTGGCGTACCAACATTGTAATGACCTTGAACTCTTTTTGTTAATTGGAGGTCTAGTTCATACAATCTTTATAGGCAGTATAGATCATACACTAGACGATCTGGCATTGAGTGTTCCACGACAAGCTCATCGTCTACATATCATGGAAATTGATCGAGTCTTATCGTCCAGGTTGTTTTAAAAAACCGGCTGAGTCATTGCCTCAGAATCAAGTCTACATGGAGACTAGAGATGTTAATTTTCATTGGATCTAGTTTTTTTAAATTTTGAACTAGATTATTAACTTATTAGGTGAACTCAAGAAAGAAAATGTTCTTTTTTATCAATAAATCTAATTTAAAAATCTTACAATACTAGATAATCTTAAAATCCACCTATACTAAGCATGGTTATTATCTAAAGACGGTTTGAAGTCGGGCAGTCAGTGTCTGCTGAACTTTGTTGACGGCCCCCAAACATTTTGATTTTCTGGTAGTTTTTTTCTTTTGAGAATCTAGCTCTAATTATGGCAGTTTGAATACTGCGTTTGGTAATCAAGTTAGATAGAATTTGCGAACTAACTTATCCAAAGGGTTTCATAAACCAGAAACAAAGTAATGGATAGGCTCACTTATTGGTCGGTATTCGTCCATGCTAAGACTGTTTTCAATTTTTTGAATGGGTTGTTTCATTTTGATATAAGAAATTATCTGGGTGCTGCTTTTTTATGAATTATTCAGTTAAACAACTCAGCGATCAATGAAGCAAAAAACTGAAGCAAATCTGAAGTGAGGCCATTAGATCCAGGCGCTCTATTTTTATTTGTTTTATTTATAGGTTGCTTCGTTTCCCCTTCACTTACTGGCGAACCATCGCACATTTTGGTTTTTTTTTCAAATCTTTTTGAATTGTACAGATTGAAAACATTCAAAAATTTACTCTAGGTGCGTAAGTAATCTACCTTGAAGTTTTCTCAGATAAATATTGGATTAATGTTTTTGTTAAAAATGTCATCAGTATGAGTGGAAATATCGCCTGATTAATCTTGAAATTAAGCACGCCTAAGTAGCCGTAATTGAGGTTCAAGTAATTTTCACGAATAGACCTAAGTTTCGTCCTCAAAGCTTCCTTCCGAGAGAGAAGAGAGTCAGTCAACCTCACTACAGGCCAACTTTGGATGTCTGGTTGTCTCTGAAATGGTTGGTTCATTAGCAATATGCGCACTAATTCACTAATTCGGGTCGTTATTTTGGATCGATTGTCTGTGATCTCTAATGCATTCCAACCAATCAAGAATTGTTGAAAGGGTTTGGTATCGTCCCTGTTAGAGACAACTTTCCTCGAAAAGCCCCTGCTGCGTTTTTACCCGCTCTGGAGGTTTTTATGGCTTCTAACCGCGCCATATTTCAATATCCAGCATGCATTAAATCTCGAAAGTATGAAAAACGTGCATGTTTTGCCTTATGATATCTATTATCCGTGTATAATGTTGTCAAGGACGCTATTTTGTCATTTTTGAAAGCTATGAATATCTTCTAGACGGTATTGGGGTTGCAATTTTTAGTCAAATTGGGTGAGGTCGATTTTATTTCAGACCATAAAAAGGTTAAAACATCGAAGTGTCCTGAAAATGTTTCAAACAAAGTTGTTTCTTTTTTTTTCACCAGACACTACGAAGTAGGTCAAGATTAAATAATTCAGTAGTTCAATCTGTTGACTTATGCCACATCAGCTACCGTCTTGTTGATTTTTGGTGCCTTCTCTTGTGTACAGCATTATATTCGTGGCACATGCACATTTATTGGAAAGTCGAGTCACTTTAAAGGCTGGTTGGTGAGAGCGTTGAAATACCACTGTCTTCAATCTGGTTCAGCGCTCTCGTTCGTGTAGCTCACTGACAACGAAGCCTTCCTATTGAAAAAGAGCCCCTGTACCCATCTCTCGCCCTAACGCGCAATAGTGTGACGCTGAGGATTGCTGTTTCAGGAAGCTGTCTAGCCTAGACGACTGCCTGGTAATCACAGACCTGTAAACTGGTTCGTTCTCAGCATAGCAATTTTTAGGAAGCCAGTTGGGAGTACTGTTTTCTCAATAAGCTCCGGTCCTTCTATTTTCTTATGAGATAGGTCGTTCTCTACTTCTATTGGAGCAACAACAATTAGAGAGTTGAAGCTGCTGTAAAAGGTTTTCGTATCTAGATCCGCTCTGGATCTTGAGAATGAAAAGGACAACTTGTCGTTGGTATGACGTTAAGAGGCCGCTTTGAATGTGTCATTGTTCTTTAAAAGATTCTTCGTGCACGGTTGTTTGATGGTAATGTTATTTTTGTCTGAAGTTAAGCAATCCCCTCAGCGATAATTCCAGAGAATGCTGTTTTTGAGCCATATTCATGTAGTTATTCAAATCGAATGTTGAAGCGATTCTAACTCGCAAATATTTTTTAAAAAAATCGGATAGAGTAACGAGTTTCTGTAATCAACAAAATTTTTCCAGAAGAAATTGATTGTAATATGGCATGTATCAACTTATATGCTACTTAACGTGATTGCGCAGCTAGCTTACTGCAGTTGATCAATCAAGGCATCCGCTGCACGTTGGTGTTGATCAGAAAAAAAAGACTCAATAAATATCATTAAGTTGCTTCAGTTTTCAAAATTTTGTTGGAAATGCATGTTTTATAATGTGAGGTTGAGGTTTTTTTTATATGGTATAGCAGCAGAAGTTTACCCATTCCGGAGGGTGAGTGTTTTTAAAGTTTTTTACTTAGACAGGTACTCGTCAGGTTATAAAAGCAAATGGACTAACTCAAATAACTACGACTGTACCATTTTGAATGCACCGCTTCTATTCTTATCAGCGAAGTTAAAGAACATTGAACCTGATTAGTACCAGGTGTTGTAGGCTTTTGTTTTTAGCGAAAGTATGACTCGAACTCTTATAGGCTAAGATTTTTTGCTTTTGAGAGTTTGTTGATCTTACAAAGCAAAGCATGACATTGTTTAATCAAAAAGATCATACTTTTCTTGGAGCCTGATTCGACATGTTGTTTTTTTATTTGTTGCTTGGAGGGTGTGAGCGTCTCCACATCGGGGCTGTTGTGAGATTTTGCTGACCTTTGGTGGACGAATGCCCCACTCCTTTTGAGGCTGCTGCGTGCTTTCATAACGTGCTTATCTATCCGGATTTTACAGCTTGCAATCATTTCAGTGGTGTTGAATAAAGCCATATTAGCTGTTATCTCGATGACTTCAAATGGTTTTCTGACCTGATTGGGCACCTATCGTCGTCAAGTTTTATGCTAGACTTTTCTCGGCACCACAGAAACTGCAGTAGTTATTAGCTTCTTGTTATCATGGAGGCTCTTTTTTCATAACCGTGAAAGCTTCCGAGGTCGTAATTATGCCCGGATATCCCGGCTTGCATGACGAAAATTTCAGCACTTGACTGTTAGGAGGTCGCCTTGAAGTTAGCGTCGCACTTGAAGTGATCCACAGTGAATGGAGATATATTGTGATCTTCAGAAAAGAAGTGTTTTTGTATGAGGTCTGGCAATGCCATCAGAGAAAATTTCAAAGAACAAAGCAGACTGACTAGCAGCCATCACTGAGAATTAGGTCGGAGATTCTTCTATTAAATTTCAAGAAAAAATTCTGGTATAGTGAACGAGTATCACAATGTATCACAACAATAAGACTAAAAGCAGATAACACGATCCCGGCTTATTTTTTTATCGTATGCTATTTGCATGTGTGTGCGGCTCACCGTAGCCAATCACTCAAGATATCCTGTGCATGCTCCGTGTCTTTTGATGAGACAATTTGGCCATAAAAACTATTGTGCCGAAAATTCCAATAAATGTCAATTTTCAAAACTTTTTTGAAATTCATAACTTACTGTGAATGTGCGGCTATCATGGGATAGAGGGTCATCCAAGACTTCATGCACATGCTCCGTGGGTTTTTACCAGCCGATTTGGTTTGGAAACTCAATGGGCCAGAATATTCTAAAAACTTCCATTTTCAAAATTTTGATCGAAATTCATAAATTATGAAGTCAAAGTCGTTATTTGTGATTTTTTTGTTGAAAACTTAGTCAAGACAAGATTGAGATTTTGATTCCCAGTCAAATTGGGTAAGATGCTTTCTTTTCCGGACCTTGAGAAGGCCAAAACATCCGATTCTCCCAAAATTGTTGCGATTTAGATTGTATCTTTGAATTCACTGGTCATTAAGCTGTAAGTCGAGATTGCATAATTCAGTGCTTGATCGGTTGTTAAAATTAGCCCCAAAAAAATCAATATAACTCTCCGTTGCCCGGCTAGATTTATTTCAATGGCTAGAAACGACCGATTAGTCCTGGCTCAGGGAATTGGTATATGCAGAGCAATAAATGCTGCAGGATTCTGATTCTTTCACAACTAAAGCCATTTGGCTTTAGGTAAAGGTTGAATTTTCCAGTT